TGCACGAGCTGTGTTTCTTTCTTCCTTTTTTTTCACCTCGATTTACAACTAATTATAACGCTTTTTATATCTAGCGATTCTTTTTTTTAAACAGCTAGACGAACCGTACGCTTAATCGCTAGATGTACCTAGTTCTTATTGTTTGCTATCAACCATAATTTCTTACTAGATGCATCGGATATTGCATCGTGTAATCGAGTAAAACCCGATGCATCTAGATAACCCGATAAATAACGCATTTCATAATGAAAAAAATAGTCTTGTGAAAGCAGCGACGCCACATGTATAAGTGCCTCCATACATACACGGCACTGTATAGACAGCAAAAATGTGAACAAAAAAAATTTAAAAGTTATCATTCAATTAACTCGATCCTGATAGTTTCGTTTGCAGGAATTCGATGAGACTAGTTATCCATTTTCGAACGGATATTGATGATTCAATATTGAATGGCTACTCAGCCATAGGTATATGTATCGACAAAAATATCGAAATCATTCGTACTGAGGCCGCAAAATAAAAATGGCTGACGTAAGTACTAGTAATTAGTATCTGTTGTTACTGATTACTAGTGAGAAGTAACAAAATTGTTACTTGTTACTAGTAACAGTAATGGTAAACAGCCCGCCCTATGCAATACTGTGTGACCAGCTAACTCTGCTATCGTAAAGGAATTCCGTAAAGTTTTCCCGTCATTTTTGTTTTAATCGGACGAAAAAACTGCTATGAACATTTTAAAATGCGTCTCGGTTCTGTAACATGTCTCGTTTTAAAGATCTAATAGAAATGGTGGCAACCACTTTTCGATTCTCTTAAAGTTCAACTTATCCATACAGAACTAAACACATTTACCGATATATATATAATTATTATTTCTAACTGAGAATCATTGTGATATTTTAGCTACTTATTTTTGGTGAACCTCAAGGTGTCATCAGTCGAACAGTCGAGGATAATGGTATCCTCGACGAAGACGAAGTACAAGTCGGTGTTGGTTCCAACCAGAGTGCGCAAGGTCGTCCTGTTCCATCGGAACCGATAGGTGAGTACACTTTCTGAGAAAATTTTTATCAGAACTAGCAGGCACATCAGTAGACAGAAGTCTTATGTTCTTAAAAAGTCTTGAGAGTTCCATAGAGCAAGGAAGGATAGAAACTCCTTTGAAAAATATCACTTACCATTCTAAAGATAAACATAAACTTGTGTTTGAAAAAAGAACATCATTTTGATTTATCTTTGTATAATAATTGTTAAAGATGTGATGATCAGTCTGAAATAATAGTCGAGACTACTCATGCACCGGTTATTTTATCGGGTCTCAGAAGTAATACCTTTAAAAAATTTTTTAGTCGTCAGTTTTGTGCACAAATGTTTGTTCTACCAAATAGGACGTCGCAGACTTTCTCACGATGATTTGCCGATGAAATACAAAGCTTTTACTTGAAAAACGAACCGATTATTAATCTACCTTTAACGGGTCCTATTTCAGAGAAAAAGATTCATATCTCATCGACGAATCATCGTGGGAAAGTCTGCGACGTCTTATTTGGTGGAGCAAACATTTGTGCATAAAACTGCAGATTAGAAAAAATTCTAAAATGCTTCTTCCATTTTTAAAACTGTTACTCCCGAGAGCCCGACAAAATAACCGGTGCATGCCTAGCAGAGACAAAACAAAAGTTAATCGACTAAATCTGAATGATTTTTGACGTGACTCAATAAAGTGAAGTAATAAACTGGGGTGAACTCATGAGAAAGCTGATCTCTATTTATATTTCCAAGCAAAACTAAGTAAGCGAGTAACTTATTAAGTACGCTGTAGCTATCTCTGCTACTTACAGCGTCCGTTTACAGCTTAATTAGCTAGATTCAAAGATACATTTATCTAGCTCGATTGAAATCAGATTTTGGCTAAAACAACTAGATTGGTCAATAGAGCGGCTAGTATATGAAATGTGCCTTTGTATCTGATCAATCCAACTGTAGACGGAATCTGAAGCTATCTTTCCAACTGGATTGGTTTACTCACTTGGAAATACAAAGAGTCTAAATGGTCTCGTATAGAAGTTTCATATTTTAACTCAAAATAACGGCTTCCTTTTTATTGATAGAAGAAGTGCTTAGTTATTTTGTGGTATAGCAAGATGCAACGAAGTAATCGAGAAGTATCATATCTCAAAAATTTCGAACGATCTAAATTATTTTGTTTTTAAACCGTTGTAAGCTGATCGAATCTTCTTTTTTTCAACAAAAACATTCTACGAAATAACAGAATGTCATACCTATCAGTCTCTGAAGATAATAAAAGGTTGATTTTATGTCTAAAACAAAACATTTTTCAAATATGGCCTTTTATAGATGAATAGGCCATATCTAGTCGTTATTGAATACTATAAGTAAGGTAGAAAATATACTGAGCGACGTGTATACCATTGATACCTTCAGAATTTGTTGTTTATCAATTACCATGATAAACGGCCCAAATCTTCTGTTATCTTTGGAACACTTTCCAGTGATCTAAAAATCTGGTTCTAGTCTCATTCAATAGAGAATTGAGTTCTCTACAAAATCTGCTATTTGAACCTGTGATAGCATTTTTCTGGTTTGGGCATCATTCAAAATATTGAATAGTGCTAAGTTCTCGAACTGCGACGTGCTTTTGTCGTATCTGTTTTTGAGAGTTTTAGTCCATTGTCTGGGGTTCAGTAATATATTTTTCTAGGTAGAATGACAGAGAATTTTGTGCTTTATCAACCTGACTGATATACAACTTCATACAATGTTTTTGCCACGTGAGCTGGACTCATAACTAGTTCTCAATCGGCTTTTCACATTTTTCAAATTAAATTAATTTTTTTCATTAATGATTTCAATTGCAAAACTTTGTTTACACTTCAAAAGAATTTAATTCTGTGTAAGATTCCAAGGCTAAAGTCCTAGATTCAGAACGTTTTACTGCTTATATAGGCAGAAAGTTAAAGTCTGTGAAAAATAGGTTCACATGTTAGCTCGTTTTAGATTCATCAGTTTTTTACAAAGAGAAATTTTCCTATTTTATTATCCTTCTAAATTTCGAAAAATATCTGAGAAGATGCAGAATTTTCTCGTGAATTTTCTCATGAATTTTCTGATGTTTTCGAAATTCTTATGGAATCTGTTTTTGGATCAAGGTAAATATTTTTCTATTTTCAGTGTGTCGCAGTTCGAGAACTTAGCACTGTTCAATATTTGAAACGCTCAAATACCACATTTTGTAGAGAATTCAATTCTCTATTGAATGAGACTAGAACCAGATTTTTAGATCACTCGGAACCGTTTATTATGCGCCACTCGGTACCACTAAATTAATGAAGATAAAAAAGAAAGCACAATAGTTTTTATTCTTACTTTAGACATCAAGGTACCATCATCACCAATTATAGTTGGGCAGCCC